GTAAGCCAGCAAACTCCTAAAGGAGCTCGGCGACTCGTAGTCGCGGCCTGTGCTCCGCCCTGTCGGGCCAAGCAAGCACGATCCCGGACCCGCTTCGTAAAGCAGCGATCCGGAGTCGGCAACACAAAAACTCGGGAACTAAAAAAGTGTGCGGCGATCCTCACCTCTTCGAGTGAGAGCAGCCTTCCTAGCAAAAACGGTGACTGAGCTGTTGTTACAGTCCACCGTAGTCGAACCCTACCCCCTAACAGCTCCGACACTCGGCATGCACGACGCGTCCGACGTGACATGCGGCAGAGAACACAGGTGCCCGTAGGAGAAAACCCCGACAGCAAGTGTAGCCTCCTGCGTCCAGCGAGGACTACACACCTGTGTTTGCCAGTGAGCCGTAAGCTGTGTCAGACCCTAGCGCTCAGCCAAATGACGTAAGCATTCCTTGATAGATGTCGCATGTCTGCATTTTTAGCCCGTTTGGCGCGAGCACCATCATCAGTGATGTACCAGCATGATTCCGCAACATCGTGAAGCATAGCCCTGTAATGGCCTGAAGAAATATCATTGCCATAGTGAGAAATAGCCCCAATGATAGTGTACTGACAGCTACGCGTCTCCAGACTATGTTCATTCACGAAGCAAGGAATCGTGACAGTAAAAGGTTGTAGACTCACCGGCATCTCAAGTTTGAAAGCGCCAGCATCGTTGAAGCCAAACCTTGTAAGGCAGATGCTCAGGATGCGAGGTGGCGCTGCTAAAGCGTGAATGGCCTCTTGGGAACTCCACTGATCCACCACTGTTTGGAGAGAACACTCCTGTAAATGCGCGGGTGGTGTCATCAAGATGGGCGTGTAAGTGCTTGCACTGTCTCTGAGGTCCAGACTAAGAAGCTTAGCCTGCCATGATCCCCACATCGATGGAGGCATCGCCTGGGAAAACAAGTGCACATGCCACTCTTGTACATCGTGCTGGTGACGAACATTTCGCCATCCCTGGAGAAAGCGTCGCCAAGGCAAGAACTCCAGAAGATCAAGCATGCCTTTGCTCGATAAGACAGCTCGTAGAGCTGTAGCTGCAAAACCTGCGGTATCCGCAAGATCGGTGGTGAGAGCATAAGCCCAGAGCCAAAGCATGATACTGGAGTTGATGTAGCATGTGTTGCTCTTATTTTGCAAACGCACCGCAAGCACAGACTGCCTCAGCCCTGTAGCGTCGCCCGCAACTGGTCCAGGTCCTTGGCGAGCGCGTCTGCCGCTGGGCTCCTCTTGACTCTTTCCGGCCGCATGTTGGCGCCGATCAGCTGGAGAGCCATGTTCCCGCAAAGATCGTTGCACCTCGAGTGGGCCTGATCCGCCGCCTGTCCCCGGCACGATAAGGAAAGTAGAAATGGTAACGTGCTGCCCGCGATCTGTGCTGTTAGTCGCCGGGTGCTCCGAAACTTGTGCACGAGCTGCTCCGTCTGGGCGAGGAAGATCTCCTGCAGCTCGGCCACCTTCTCCAACATCGCCGGGTGGGCAATCGGCTCGCGAGATGTGTCCAGCACCAGCTGCTGGCCATTCCACTTCTTGTACGGCCAGAAGTGTTCGCTCCC